ATGAAAGGCACTCACCCGCAATGCAATTATTATTCGAACCAATTGATTTCTTGAATGCAGCGTTCAGATCTTTGTTCACTTCGATATCTTGTAACATACGATAAAGCTTATTTACAAAATCTGCTGGCATTCCAGCATCTCGTAATCTGTAACACATAAAAGGACCACATAAAGAGACCAAAGGATACATCAATCAAGTATATATCATTCATCCCTATCTACATAATATCCTTCTAATTCACAACACCATCAATCCTCCGACCCTAACAAAAAAATCAAGGAATTTGCCACCAATAAACCGCCTACCTCGTCACCATATTTTCCTCTTTTTCCTGATCGGCACTCATCTCAAGTATCAGCCTACGTGCCAGATGTGCCTTATGGAAACGCATAAAAACGTCCTTGTTCGACACATACTTCAGTACCAATAGCTGAAACATGACCAATTAAAAAATAAAATAATTTCTTCCCACTACTAAAACTGTGGCATCCTGAAGCTATCTAAACAAACACCACAGCATAAAACATACTCGTATGGGGAAAAACATTCAATCTGATCGCATAAACAATTACGTAACTAAAAGCAATGGACTAAAATTTTCAAAATCTTTCATCTACTCATTTGTATTCGTTGTTATTTGTTAAATTTGATAAATCAGATACCACCATCTCATTCCTCAGATATGACATTCAAATACGCAAATCAATTAACAACAAAACAAGTCGCCTACCACATCATTCAACTTCGCGTCGATCTCTTCAGAAGAAAGTCTCTTCGNTCCGGACATCTCGATTCAGCTTGTACACGCGATCCTCTTCAAACAATAACTCAAATCAATTTCACCTATCTACCAATGTCCATTTGCTTTTAAGGACAGCATTTCTAATATAAATCATAAGATGAATCAAGAATATCCACAGAAACCGAAAATATTTCTCGATTAAACATTTCAACACTCACTGCTTCGCCTTCGAACTAGCAATTTCCATTTTGAATATGCACGTATCATTCACCACATCCTGGAATGCCTTATCTCGAGCCGTCAAAAAACGAGGATCATCGTAGAAAGCCGACGCCACCAAAGCGCTAAATCTTGAGAACATTGACAACAATTGCTCCACATATTTTTCTGGATCCTGAAATTCACATTTCAACTCAATTTTATCCTAAATCTAACAATACCAATTCAAAAAAAAGTATCTTTGAAGAACTCTCCCATCAGAAAACGCAACAAAAATATAAAATAAAATCAAAGAAACACGAACAGTTGTAATTGTGGCCGCATTTGCCATCATATCGTTGAGCGCTTCAGTTCGAATGAATTCGTCCAAATAGTCCAAAATCGACTGAATACCATTTGGCGTACGTTTGATGAGACGATACAACATTTGCAATTCTGTAAAATTCATTTCGCCATAAATGTGGCGATCACGTCAAACAAACCAGCAAAAACCATAATAACAACAGCACTGATATCATTCACCATAACAATAAACGAAATCATAGTAACAATACTATTCTATCTTATCAACAAAAGAATGCCAATTTTTCTTCTGCAACTACCAAAATATTTTTTTCGTTCATAAAACTAA